GTCCCGCCCCCACAGCCCAGTAAGATACACACTGGGGTTTCTGATTGATGGAACAGACAGAGACAAACATAAGTCCACCCCCAACACAAACACACAGGAACACACAGCCCATTCAGGTGTTTTTTTATCATCATGTGGTCTGAAAGTAACTGTCCACCCAAGCTCCTCTAACTGTGCCTGTTACGTCCCAGTGTGTGGTCTGTGTGTGTTTGTTGTGATGTTCCACACTGCTGACTTTGATTGTTCTCCCTCCCCCATTGGCCCACCATCACATTGTTGTTTCTGTGTGACATCATCGTCAATCGGCTTCTCAGCCAATCAGAGTGCATCTTATTCACTATATAACATGGAGGCTTTCAGAAGGAAGAACCCTTTTGTTTGACTTCGGTTCTGCTCGGCTTCGCTTTGCTGTTGGTTTGTGTGTATTTTTGTATAGCTTTGGCTTTGTTGTTTTGTTAATTTCTGTTCGTCTCTTTGTCCTTTTGTTTGTTTATCCTTATTTAGCAATTCCCTTGCCCAGTCGTATTGTATCAGCGTCTGTGTTCTGCTGTGCCCTTCTGTGTAGAGGGTGAGTTCAGGTGGTTGGGTACATTCCACACACACACGTAGTTGACTCTTGTGTTGGTCACACCAGTTCAGTAGGGGTGAGTGCCGTTTGTCTTGTGTGGTTTTGGGGAGTCAGTGGAGGTGAGCTAGGGTGTTGAAGACGCTGAAGACTGAGTGTTTCAGGTTTTCTTCTGTAGTCAGGTCAGCTTTCCCTCACGGTCCTGGCCAGCTCCATTTTGTGTGTGATTTTCTTTTCTGTGGCACCACTCTGTCCCTCTCCCTGTGGGTTATTGTGTCTTATTAGTTACCAGTCACTCATTCACCTTAAAACCATCACTTCTGCACCAACCCTCATTCTCATGCCTCCTAGTCTCTCACCAGAGCACACCTGCATCCAAAAATTATCCTAAATGTTATACCCCTTTACCCCTAGACACTTGGGGTTGTAACAGTGCCACCCTGTGCTGTGCGTCTCTAACGGTGCTCTCGGCGTGCTGTGCGTCTCTAACGGTGCTGTCAGTGTGCTCTCGGCGTGCTGTGCGTCTCTAACGGTGCTGTCAGTGTGCTCTCGGCGTGCTGTGTGTCTCTAACGGTGCTCTCGGCGTGCTGTGTGTCTCTAACGGTGCTCTCGGCGTGCTGTGTGTCTCTAACGGTGCTCTCGGTGTGCTGTGTGTCTCTAACGGTGCTCTCGGCGTGCTGTGTCTCTCACGGTGCTGTCACTGTGCTCTCGGCGTGCTGTGTGTCTCTCACGGTGCTGTCAGTGTGCTCTCGGCGTGCTGTGTCTCTAACGGTGC